CAATCTCCTCCTGTGTAATACACAGTCTCTGAAAACCCCACAGGGTCAGCTGTGACACAGTTCCAATTTGAAAGCGCCTCACAACAAATTCTATTATAAATAAAATTAATAATTAGTGTCCAAAAGGCCAATTAACAAGAAAATGCTTTTATTGATAGAAAAGCCAAACAAGTTTTCCATGAATTCTAATATGTTTTATTCTGTCTGTTGAATATATTCAAGTTCAAGTTCAAAATTCATTTTCTCTGTTGGTGGCATTGTCATTGTTGCTATTTTGTTAATCTTTCTATAGAGGCAATCAAATGAGATCACAAATATTAGGGAAATATCCCTCTTCATCATCACACAGATAAACTTAATTACATTCTTACTCTCAGCTACATGGTCCTACATGGTGCCAATTGCATTTGTTAGGTCGGTGACATTAATAAGTATTGATCTCAAGCTACAGAAGCTGTTTCTCAAATGCTATGAAGTAAATACATATAAATAAAAACAAATAAGAAACAGATGTGTATTCAATTTAAATGTCCTTCCTATAGGTAATATAATTTATTCTAATATGAAATGAAACATCTATGAACTACAATAACTGGTTCCAAAGGAAGATAGCCCAGAAAAGTGACCTAGATTCAGATTGACATGGGAATGGACCGACATTATAATCTAACATGTAACTTCCAAATAGTATCAGTTAGCAATTGCTTGACTGTCACCAACAGAAAAAGACTTAAACCACAAAAAGAAAAAAAAATCGTTTTAGTCATTATTTAATTCATTCACTCAATAGTGATAGAAATGATGGAAAAGTCAGATGTCAAATAAATATTGTAGAATCTAGTTTATCTGTAATTTTTAAAAAACTACTCATCAAACTAAACAGATAATAGTCTTATTTTCATTTTGTTAGTTATGTAGATATAAGTTGTATCTCCATATAACACGTTAGAAATTAAAAATCTAGCCATGACCCAAGCTTTTGATTTAGATGACTCTAAACCACTTCTGGGTAATTTTACTTTCCATCCAGATATTTGAACCACGTAGACATGGTCATAACTCCAATATCATTGCTACATTTGAGTCATTAACCTAGGAAAGGAAGCTTATAGAATTATCAATTCCTTGAGCCAACTAGGACTCTCTCCTTTTACTAAATAAAGAGAATGTCATTCAGATTTGACCCTAGAAAAATAAGTGCATGCATATACCTGACTTCTCATATCCTCTCTGGATAAGAGGATGGGACAGCTATTTGGTTTCCATCTCATTCTTGTAATGGCAGAAAAGAGAATACAAAAAGTCAATTGTAAATTTGTACAAAACGTATGCATATATAAATACATATCTATGGGCATATATAAATTCTAAAGATTATATCATCTACATCTTTAAGATTCCAAGTCCCATACAGTTGACATAATGGCATTCTTTCTCCAATTTCCTCATTTTAAAAATCCATAAGAATCAAACATGCCACCTTATTTTTATTGAGTAGCAAGTGCAGAAGTTAAACTATAGTTATAGGGATTTGAAGCAATTAGTTTGACGGGATATCAGTGGATAAAATCCTTAAAATAAATTTAGCTATTTCCAGATTGCCTTTTGTTTCATATATATGAAAACCAGAAATGCCCTCTTGATAGCATCCCAAACTCCTGAGACTATTGACTGGACTCTAGAAGAAGCAGTGCTTTATGCAAAGTCTGTGCAAATTGCTTGGGTATGTGCTTATTGCAATAATTTTGTGTGGGTACTGGGATGACAAGAATTTAATTTAATTCTCTTTTTATCTCTTAAAAAAAAGGTCTCAAGTGACACGACTAGCTTAAGATCCTGAGTAATTTAAACTCAGCATGAAATTTGATTTTAAAAATCACATCTTTACATGAAAGAATTCTTAAAAATATTAAACCATAGTCAATTAATGAAGGCATACATATTAAAAAGTGCACAATAAAAGCATATTGCAGCTATGTGTGCCCATGGTTAGAGGTATCAAGATCTTTTTATTTTTTACAATATACAACAACACTTTACTTCTCCTGACCATTCTATTCTTTTGGGGGGAAAATAATACAGGGCAATTTCATATTTACTCCACAGAGTTTGCAGGCTGCTCCTTAAAAATGGATTATTATTGCATGCCTTGAATGCACTATGATTCATAAGGCAAGAATGTATGAGTAGCTTCAGCACCAAGGAAATGGAATTATCATCCAGCATTGCTCACAACAGAACATCTTATTGCTTTAATAAAATGGGAAATTATTCGCTGTAAAAAGTGCACCAAATAAAGGGAAGAAAGTAATATCCATACGCTTAGTGGAGCTCATTAGAAATGAGGAAGCTCCTTGATTCTCTTCAAATTTCAAGTTTAAAAGATATTCTGTAATAAGATATTAAAGAGCTACAGCTGGATGAGGGTGAGCTACAAAAATTAATGGACTTTATTCTTCACAGTGCCTTAGTCATTCTGATGTACAATGTAGAGAGCTCTGATGCACTAAAGGATTCCCTAGTGGCCTGCGGGAGTTAATGTACTCTTTTTTTCTATTACTAGGAAGTGACTAAGGCACTGGAGACAATCTGGTTCATTGTTTAATATATTGTATACAGGAATATACTCGACTTTCTAAAATTACAACATAGTATGCCTAAATGATAATCTTCCATGTTTCGGGAAAGAACTTACATGAAAATCTAATGAATGATTAAAATGAAAAACAGTAATTATTATAGAAAAGATTCTGACTGGACTTGGGCATTTTAGGTAATGAGCTAAGACTTCAGAGGCAATATTTCTCTGGTAAAAGCACAAGTTTCTGGATCCATGGCAGAATGTTTAAAATAGCTAGGTACTTGGAAAAGAGATGTACTTAGGGGCACTATTGCCTCATATTCTACCAGTTGGTAAGAATCCTTGACTGAGCTTTTGTAGCTAACTCTCATTTATACATTTTCCTAACTCTTTTATAACTCTATAAGAATTTATTTTCCAATAAAAGGGCTGCATTGCATGTAATTAAGGTGATGTTATGCTTCTATCCCCTTCTATGGTCAACAGAAGGGAAAGAAGGTGGTAAATAATCATAGCTATATTCCAAGATAGAGGGCCTTATGTAGTATTATGAAAGAGAACAAAATATTTCTTTTTTACTACTTATTTCCCTTTGAGTATTCACTGAAATAAGGTAAGCCAGCCACAGAAAAAGAAAGCAGCCCTCCTCCTCTGATTCATCAGATAAGCAGACATATAGTTTTAACTTAACAAACTTCAAACATTTTTTCCTAGAAGTAGTTACTGAGCTTAACTTATCTTAAAAATTTTATGTCCTGTCATCCAAATTGCCCAACATCCCCACCAGTCTAACCCCCAAACACACACAAAGCAAGCAAGCACACGCACCACTGCCTCCAGGTGGTAATTGCATGCAGGGAGGACTACAGGCACTGTTTAAATATTAACCATGTTTTAATAGATGGCATTCCTGCACATCCATTATTTGTTTGTTTTCTGTTATGGTGGTTTTTTCTGTTATTCACAAAAGAAAAAAAGAAAGTCTATGTGTCGTCTTTTCATAACAGTCTACTACAGGGTAAAGTACAAAAGAACACTCTGGAAACAGCAAAGCCAGGTCTGATCCACTGAATTCCTCATTCAATGGTAGCCATTATATCAACAGCTGGAAGTTAAGAACAAAAATATACAGTTTGTAAGACATAATACAGAACTGCAATTTGCGTCAGTATTTGGTACCAATAGAATAAATATGTAACAAAAGTATACTTATTCTAAAAATAAAACAGAAACATTCTGGTTGGTTAGATACTGCACTCCCAGGTACTGCACATCACCTAATACCTAATTTTTCTTTTTTTTCTTTTTTTTTTTACAAAAAAAGTAACTTATGCGATGTGTAATAAGAAGGAAATCAACAGTGCACGCAAATCTAGTTGTAGAAAACGAAGAAACCAAAGCTAGAATAGTCACTTTCCAAAACAGCCTCTCCTTTGCCTGCACAACCAGAGGCAAAAACCAGAACGGTGAGGCGATTTCAGCACCAGAACTGGCTGGACAGCTCCTGGATCTTCTCTCAAAGGTGTACGGGTGGGGGCGGGGCGAGGAGCGAAAGCAGATCAGTTTTGCTTTTGTTTTTAACGTACGTAATAGATTTTTAATGTACTTAAGCTCGGCCAGCGAGGGACATTTCTAAAAGTAAATTTAAATGCCCTGTCCTGGAAAAGTGAATGGTTAGCCAGAAGGCTGACTGGAAAGGGACAATAACTGTCATAAATGTCTCCTTTTCTGGGTCCACGAAAGGACTGAAGTGTCTACCTTGAAACTGGTCTCTTTATCGAGGTTCCGCCGGGTTGTAGAACTGTCTCTTGTCGTCCTGGTACTTAATGAAGACGTTTCCGTTACGTTATTGCCTGAGCCCGGCTTGGGGGTGGGAATGGATAGGGGAGAAAAGCTGAAGGAAAAGTGAAAGCTTAAGGGGCAGAGGGGCAGAAAGGTAACTGAACCTTAAATCGATAGCTATGTACAATACCAGTGGGCCCCTCCCCTCCCTTTGTTCCCTGGGGTCAACATCTTTTACATATTTGGTAGCGTGTGCGGTTTCTCCTCCTTGGGGGGGGGAGGGGGCGGGGTGGAGAGGGAAGACGCATCCTTCATTGACAATGAGAAATTACGTGATTTGTCATGCGCTTGGATTGTGTTATTAGTAGTATAATAATAATTACTATAAATATGAGTAAAGTATTATCAACGTTATTTCTTCTTCCGAGACTTTCTTCGCCCAATATTTACAAATACCGCACAGTGCCTCGGCGGAGGAGAAACAGGAGAGAGGTCAGAGAGGGAAAGGAGAGTATGAGGAGGGCCAGTGGGTTATGGAGGGTGGGGAAGAGGAAGAGGAAGGGGGGAGGGGAGAAAAGCAAAGATAGGCCAAGAGCTGGAGAGGAGGGCAGGGGGCGGAAGGAGAAGAGCTAGGCAATCAGGACAGTACGACCGTCTGCAAAAGGCCCTCGCTAGCTGTGTCCAAACAGGAGGAAGCTGCACGTGCGCCCTGCGGACTAGGGGCTGGCGCTGGAGGCGGAGGAGAACAGGGACCCGGACACTGGACACCCGGGGACGGGGACGAAGAGGAGAAGGAGGCGGCGGCGGCGGAGGCGTGGGAAGGGGCGCTGAACGCAGCGTCCCGGGGCTGCCTCTCCAGCCGGGTCTCTTTGCCCTGGGTTGGGGCCTGGCTGCCAGCCTGGACCAGCCCCCCGCTGCCACGGCTGCTGCTGCAGTGATCTCGCTCGTATTCCTCCTGAGCCCTCTGCATCTTCCGCTTCTTCATCCTGCGCTTGTGGATGTGGAAGGTGGAGAGGGACAGCACGATGAGGCAGAAGATGAGGGTGACCAGGACAATCAGCACCAGCGTGGACGAGAAGGACTGGAAGAGCTGCTGTCCCACCTGCGTTATGCAGGTGCCGCCGCCCGGGCCTCGGGTACTAGCGTTGCCACTGGCGTTGGGGGAAGCAAAGGTCCGGTTGAGGAGACAAGGCGGCAGCGCCAGCCTCAGCTCCTTGGGCGCCCTGGCACTCATCGGCGCTGGGCTGGGAGGGGCCGAGCCCACCAGGCTTCCCCTCTTGAGCACAAGGTTCCCACCAGCCAAGAAGAAGATGGAGCGCAAGCCAGCAAAATGACTCCTGGGCTCAGGCGGAGGTGCGCGCTAGATTCAAGGACCAAGGCAGGCTGCAACTGCGGGCGAGCAAAGCGGCCAGCCAGCGGCGCCCGGGAGATCTTCTCAGGCCCCGCCTCAAACGCGTCTTCGCGCGCCCTTTTCCTTTGCCCAGGCACCAGACTGCAAAGAGAACAGGCTTAGTTAGGACCCTGGGTACTGCTCAGGGAAGTCTGGAGGTCAGAAATGTTCAGCCACTAGAGCAAAGTGGCCCTTTGGGCGCAACCGATAGGTGCCGCCCGACATCTCCTCAGATGGTGGACCCCCAGCCCACCCGCTCGCCCTGGGCCACGCACCAGAGCTGCCAGCTGCCTACTCGCGCCACTCGCGCGGTGAAGGGGTCTGTGCTGGCTCTGAGGAGGAGTGGATTACTCAGCAGATAAGGAAGCCTCCCTGCGCCCCCCACAACTTTCTAATTGCTACAGGCGGGCAGCCTCGGATCTTGCTCCCTACTTCCCAGAGCGCTAGCTCTCTTTCCTGCACCTTCTTCGGGGAAGTCTCCACCTAGATCTTACTCTCTTCCACCACCCACCCGGGGCCGCTGGGTGGGCTCCCGGTACGCAGTTCTTTCCTCTCCGATCTAGGCGGCGGCATCAGATCCCCTTGGTCCCTTTCCTAAGAAGGTTCCTCTGGCACCAAGTCCCATTTCTTCCCTGCCCACCGCCGCAGCGAACGCTCGTGAAATGCACCCCATCCATTCTCCAGCCTTCATCCCAGGCGCACCACCCCCACCAAACAAAAAACAGCTGAAGCACCTTTCTCAACTGAAGCTTATCTCCACAAACGCCCCCTTTCTCACCATCTCTCTGTTTCTCCCACTTGATGGTATCTCGCTTATTTCTAGAAAAGCTGGAAACCGAAGGGGGAGGGTTCCTGCCTGCAAAGTTTGGGGAACGGACCTTCTCTGCGGCCTTCCCAGAAGCAGTCCGAGGGCCCCAAAGGCTCTTGCCCTGTACTAGAGCCTGGGGACGCGCAGCGCGCAGCAGAACCTTCTTGCTATTCCCAAGAGGCAGCTGCAAACTGTTGCACTGCGGGGCAGCGAGGAGGCTTACAAAGCCGGACCTGGGCCGGGGCCGGGGTCGTGGTCGAAGCAATAGCCAGGAGTGCCTTGGGCAGGCCGCCGAGATGGTCCTCCCTTCGCGCGCCGGGCCACCCTGCAGCCCAGCCTCCCAGAACCTTGAACAGCGCCAGGACTCTTACCTGGGGCCTCCAGCTGAAGGCAGGGACGGAGCTCCGGCCGCGCGGCTGCAGTGGCGGCTGCAGAAGGCGCGGAGTGAAGGGCCGGGGACAGAGCCGCGCTGCTGCTGCTGCTACTGCCGCTGCCGCGCCGCCGCCGCTGCTTCAGGGAGCTCAGCTCACAGCCTATTGCCAGAGAGGCCGGTGACGTCAGGCAGCCACCGCCAGGGCTCCAAGCCACCCCTCAGGCCCCCACCCCACCCATACACCCCAACACCTTGTCCTGGCAGAGCGAGGCCCTCGCTGCACAGGATCTCAGCTCCCTAACCAGAGCCTAACAGGAGCAGCCCCCAACCTCCACCCTCCACCCGGTGAACAGCCCACCTCGCACTCCCATGCCTGGAATGGTTGATGCTTCACTTCTCCAGCTGCCTGATTCCTCACCCTCAACCCTTTCCCAAATGGTTTCAAGAACGCATTTTTATAGCCTGTAGACTCGCTTTCCCTCCGCCTCACATCAGACTCTTTTCCCTGGCTAATGAGGACAGCACTAGCCCCAAACACTGCATTCGTCCTGAATACAAACTGTGTCGGTGAGAAGTGATCCAAGGTATTCCTGAATACAAGTGGAGCAGAACTTGAAATACAAATCTGAAGAGGCATTTAGCAACAACAACCCAAAGTACCAATTTTCACTGAGTCTTTGCCCTCTAGTTTAGCTTCCTTTCCACCTGACTTCTGATCTTCCTCCTCCACAGGCCCTAAACCAGTCTTTCTGTGTCTGTCTCTCTCTCTCTCTCTTTGTGTGTGTCTATCTTTAAAAAAATCACACACACACACACACACACACACACACACGCACGCGCGCGCACACACTCCTTTTCTTCTGGTTATGTATCTATGTACTCTGAGGCACACAAAACACACGAGACTTAAAAGGCAGGAAAATCAGAAAAGTCTTGAATTATCCTATGACAAATACTGTGTACTGTGCTTCTTATAAACAGCAACAATAAAACTAAGCCCATTGTTGTGAAGTCAATTCCATCCCACAATGATCCTAGAAGACAGAAGAGAACTGCTCCATGGGGTTTCACAGCCACTCAATAGTACAGGGTAGAAGTTTCCTAGACCGTTTCCAAAGTGATAAGTGTTTTAGGAAATAGACTGTGACTGTCATAAGATGCCACCTTTATTCATTCTCTCAGCAGAGTGGCTGGTGGTTCAAACATCAAACAGTCAGACTTCAGTTTCGTGTTTAACTGTTATGTCAACAGGGTGCCTGTGCCTCTTATAAAATACCCCTTTATTTTAAGTGCTTGGTGGTTATGTTGTAATATTAATAGCAGCCTTTCTGCACACAAGATAGAACTTCCAGAAGGATTCTCATCAGCCAGCCAAAAAATCTAAACAGACTGTTTAACTATTATTTGGGAACCCTTGGGAAAAGATCTGAATAAGGCCTTTAGTTACAATGCTGTTGTTGTTGATTGCCGTCGAATTGAGCACGACTCATAGTGACCCTATGAATAAAAGGCCTGAATATAACTATCATCATTTATCAAAGTTCATAGAGTTTCCAGAGGCATATAAAATGGAATTATCTTTCTGGTTTTTAAAGGTAGCTTAGAACAAACCTGTAGTCTTTAGAGACACTCAAGTGTCATATTAGATGTGTGTTTTCTTTCCTCTCTGTCTTATTTTCTCCCTACCTTTAAGGCTAGGCCAATGCCTTCAAAATGCTTACTTGCTAAATTAATGCAGCAGATACTGCTGCTCCTTCACATTATGCGTTAGAAGTGAGGACTATCAGCAATGAGTGAGGCCCATCTATCATCTGCTTTTATTTGCTCTAGCCATAAAGAAAGAGCGTTTGACATGTGGATAAGAAGTTGTCCATCTTTTTAGAGTCCCTCCTTCTAACCCAATACTCCTCTCTAGTTTTACTGTAGTTCTATTCCACTTCCTTTTCCATCTCCCTGCATGTGACTTATTTTTGGAGGAAGAACTGCATCGTATCTTACTCAAATACTCTTTTAATTTATTTGAATAGGATCTATCACTTATTTCTTTATAATTATTACAATAAAGTAGAATATATATCAAAGACATGTATTATTCCCAGCCTTCACTATGGATTACATCATATCATCAAGAACACAGAAATTCTCACCACTGGACCAACGGACATCATGATAAATGGAAAGAAGATTGAAGCTGTTAATAGTTTCATTGTACTTGAATCTACTATCAACATTCATTATAACAAGGGTAAAAGAACCAAAAGATATGTTGCCCTTGAAAACCATGCTACTGATGACCTCTCTAAAGTGCTAAAGAGCCAGGTTATCAATCTAAAGACTAAGGTGTACCTGAGGCCCATCGTGTTTTAAAAATTATTTCCTGTGCATCTGAAAGTTGGACAATGAATAGAGATGACAATTAGAATTGATACTTCTAAGCTGTGGTACTGGAGAAGAGTATTGAATATCTCACAAAGTGTCAAAAGAACAAATAGATATGTCTTGAAAGAAGTGCATCAGGGTGCATTTTGGAGGCAAGGATTGCAAAACTTTATCTAATTATATCTTTATATATACATATCCCATATATAAATTTATCTCCTGTTGTCAAGTAAGGATCAGGAAAGACAGTGTGATGAGAAACGTGGAGATTCAGACCAAGAGAGATCACCTTCAAGAAGATGGATACACTTAGTGACTAATCATTGGCTCGAATATATCAAATATTGTGAGAATAGAGAAGGATTAGGGCAAGGTTCAGAGCTGTTTTTAGAGGGTCATTATGAGTCAAGGAGAGACCATGGCACCTTCTTGGAGTATCATTGCTTATGTCAAATGGACCTTGGCTGAAAGTCGAGAGTACTAGAGAATACTCTGTGCTTTGTTGACTATGCAAATCATTCAAGAAACTGGACTTTATGAAGAAGAATGTAGAATTGGAGGAAAACTCATCAACAACCTGCGCTATGCATATGACACAACCTTGTTGTCATAAACAGAGGAAAACTTAAAGTACTTGCTGCAGAAGATCAAGGACTTTAAATACGGATTAAGTTTCAACATCAAGACAACAGAAATTCTCACCACTGGGCCAAAAGACATCATCATAATAGATGGAGAAGAGATTGAAATTGTCAATTATCTCATCTTACTTTGATCCACAATCAACATCCTTGATATTGGCAGGCAAGAAATCAAAAAAGAAACCACATTGGGAAAATATGCTGTCAGTACTCTCCAAAGTACTAAAAAATAACAATTTTAGTTTCAAGATTAAGGTGCACCTGATCCAAGCCATGATCTTCTCAACTGTTTTGTTATGCATCTAAAAGTTGACCAATTATTAAGGGTGACAAAAGAATTATGGTATTGTAGAAGAGTACTTAATATCACAGGGACTGCCAAGAGGACAAACAGATCTGACCTGAAGAAAGTGAAACCAGGGTGCTCCTTAGAGACAAGGATGGTGAAACTCTGTCTCACATACTTCGAGCATGTTGTAAGGAGTCAATCCTTGGAAAAGGGCATCATGCTTGGAAAGGTGGAGGGTCAGCATAAGAGAGGAAGACATTCAACAAGATGGATTGACATAGTGACTGTGGCAAGGGGCTCAAGTGTGTCAGAGATGATGAGAATGGCACAGGATAGGATGAGGTTCAAACTGTT